GTCTTCAAAGCGACGTGTCTCGGCTCCGGATGCAGAGGCTGGATGCCATTGGTTGATCAACGAACGCTCTGATTGATCGCGACTTCCGAACCATTTCCGTTTGCGATGCAGTGGACCTCCGTTCATGTGAACTTCGCTTACAGTCGCGGATAAATACGTACAGTGGGGGACAAATGTGTACGTGGACACCGTTTAAAACGGTATAACTCTTTTCAAACTGGACTAAATGACTTGAATTGTATGGTTACAGAGACTAGTATGCTGTGCGGCGACTAGAATTCATGTTTTTTAATTTCGTTATTACTTGGTACGACAAAATAAGATATAAAAGAAATAACGTTTTCCTACTTTTTTTTATCTGGGCATATAACAAAAATTTAAATAATACGTTTTGAACATCTCGGCAACTTATGCGGCATACTGAAAATTTGATTGAAATCGAGGTAATATTTTAAAAATTGTAACAAACGAGTTGAATTTTTGTTAGATAACAAAATAACAATTGGGTGGAATGGCAAAATTAAATTTGTTAAATCACGAAATTATTATGTAACTAAATAGTATAGATATTAACACTTTATCTAGATGAAGCCTGTTAATAGAATTTTCAATTATTGTACTATACTAAAAGAAATTTTTGTAAACAATGTTTTTTTCACATGATCATCCCAAATGATATTATTAGATAATATAACTAAGGGCGAGTCGTTGTGTGATGCACGATTGAAATAGTTGCTGCCAATTAACAATTTATTAAGCAGTTTTGAAATATAAATTATGGACTTTCGAAAATTATAAAGCCGTTGCCTGATTAAACTTCCTTTCTGTATTATTTCGTTCTACACAACTTATATTCTATTTGCATTAAAGCAGTCTTAATTTTTAAAGTAGAAAAAGATATTAAAATTGAAAGTTCCTTAACACAAGATAAGAGTAAAATTATAATAAATAATTATAATTATAATAATATGATAATTATAATAAAGAGTCAAAATTATAATGAAAGTTTGAAAGGACATTTACGAAAGGGATGTCCTATTTATAACGATTCGTTATGCGTCCCTTCTATATATATATATAAATTCAACAAGTAAATTAAGAACTCGATCAATAGATGGAATAATATTATCAAAACGATAATGAATTTTCAATTTTATTGCATGCTATTAAATACAAATCGGCTGATACGTGTGATCATGATCAACCAATTCTACTTCCTATAAACGCTAGAACATTGAAGTATAGAAAATAGCAGTCACATAAAAATGATAAAATTCATTAAAATCACTATTTTCAATATAATGTGCATTTTTTTTTAAATTTACACCGCTTTCGCGCGCTTTCGATGTATATGTATACCGCTCTATATTGTCTTTCTTTACTTACGTTCGCTTGAGCCTTTAATAATAAAATAATCGGTACTAGCGACAAAACGATAATTCAAAACCCATGATATCCATTGTGGCTGCTGCAATTTATTTCAAACTGTTTATACAACTGATTCATACGTTTATACACGTATGGTGCAAATTAATACTGCAATAATTCTGTTATATATTAATTATATAATAATTCGTTGCTGGCAGATATAATGTGCGTTTGGCTAGCGATAAAGAATATTAATGCTCCCTGTGGAATCTAGATACATATACGTTGAGTTTATTCAATTCGCCTACATGTTTAATTAGAATCACATACAGCTAATAAGATATTCAGTTTAGCACCCGCCGCCTACAAACACAGCAGTAGCCTTTTGGTCCTTCGAACGCGGAGCTACTTGTAATATTCATTTCGCTATGCATTATAATTTTACCGACCTATTAAATGCATGCGAACCGCAGAGGAATTGCATACGACGGCATATCCTTGTATTGATGTCACGTATTTTGAAATAAACTGCACGGAGAGCATAGATGCCCAAACATGGTCACGAATCGCCGACCAATTGGTTGCGCTGATTTTCCCAGCATGCAAATGGCAAAAAATACAAATTGATCTTACCTTTTTGACAAAATACCAACATATAAAAATGGATAGCCCAATCTCGTCTTCGGTTCTAGAAATTCGGTGGCAGAAAAGAGTACTCGACACCTGGAAAATCGCATTTCTCGTCACATTAACACGTTGACTGCCGCGTCACCCGTATTCGGGTGACAGCAAAAGTTCTCATCAGGCCACGTCACCCGTAATTCGGGTGACGCTGATTTGACTACTTACAAAGGATTTCCGAAAATATTTGGACAAATATTTTACAGAAGGTAATGAAACTATTGAATTCTTATAAAAATGGTTTATTAAAAACATGATTCGCAGTGTATAACATTAAAACATTCTCTGCAAAGTTGAGGTTGATCAGGACAGCTTGGACAAAAAGTTGTTTGTTTCTTCAGATATGCTCGTGCCTCTGATCGGTCCATTTCGTATCTTTTATTTGAACTGTAGCTTCCTCAGTATCATCAACATTTCTTTCTTCTTCCATGACCAATTCTCTTAAAATCTCGTCAATAGTATCTTCATAACATTCATTATCACTAAGATTGTATTTATCAGTATCCGAATCAGAATCCGACGATGTAATTCTATTTATGCTTCTCCTTCCGGGCAATCCGATCTCTTTTCATTATTGAAAAAATAAGGGCAGAGATTTTAAGTTATACCATTCGGTACTCGGCAAAGATTCCAACTGTTCATGCAGGAA